CCCAAACACTTCCTCGTGTGGCTTGCCGGCTTTCGAAGGTGCTACTCGCTAACAGCACTTGCCCCAACAGTCTGTTCAAGGCTAAAGGGCGAATCTTTGTCTTAAGTATACAATTGGGCGAAATTATAACGAAACCAATGTTAACTATCTATCCTCCTATAATAATGATGGCAATGCGCACGTGACATGGCGATGGTAGATCTGTGATGTCACGACGGTATCACGATGGTAAACACATTACGTGTCTCTACACGGCATGAGAGTAGCCGTGTGTGTCGATACTCTGTATCTTTGTATCATCTGTGCAGAGTATTAACATCGTGTGTGCATATATACCATTGTTATTTTGTAACTAATATACCGGATATGCACGATTGTGTAGACACACGTATTATATATATTAAATATTGTGTCTGTATAATGCACAGTACATAATTAGTGTTGTGCGTCTGTAATGTACCATGTATAATTAGTATTTAATGTCTACAATGCACTCTACATGACGATGATTGTGTGTCTATAGTTTGGCTCCATCTCGCCTCCTCTCGGCCTCCACATCTAGGACTTAGTGTTTTAAACATGTTTATAAGAATGTATAAAATATAGGACAATATATAGGATTACTATTTGCATATGCATAAACGTTAATTCTAGTGGTAGTGGCAGTGCCTTACGCCGATATCCCCTACTCTACGCAAAGCCTAGCAGCAGTGAAGCGCTGTGTATATGTCTGTACACACGAATAAAGAATGCTGATGCGTGTGCATACCAAACACAAATGTTGTGTATGTGCACACTCCGTGTTGGCGTGATGCACACCTTGCATGTGTGTGTGGGTGTCGACGAGACGCAGCGTGCGTGTGTACTGCACATTGGTGATGACGCGTGTAAACGCGGCTGCAACTACACACATAAATACTCTTACACAGAGCAACACATAACTACACATTACACACAAAGGCATAAACATACCATGCCGCCGATACACACACACACAGGAGCATCTCGCACGCACTCACAAACATAAACAGACACGCGAGCCCGCGGCGCGTAAATACACATGACACACACACACATAACCGCGAAGCACACACACACATAAATACACATTACGCGGACAGCCAGCACACACACACACGCTTATGCCGACACACAGACGCATATATATCGAACAAAGACAAAGGTCCCCGTATAGCCTTTAACAGACAGTTGGGCCGACACGGCAAATGGGCTCAGCAGGCTGCCAGCACGACGCCCGGCCGCCTTTGTCTTCCCAATGCTGATGTTCACATTCCGCGACCAGATACTCGTTTAAGACTGAGTCGGACTTGGGGAGGGGTTCTGGACCGGTGCAGATATCCGCCACCGATGTTGGCTGTAAGACGGGAATCGAACTCGGGTCCGGCCCGGGTTAGGAGCGCAATGCGCTAACCACCGCTGTCCACACGCACAGAGACAAACACACCTCGGACACCCTGAACAGATTGTTGGGACACATACTTTTAGCGAGCGCCTATTAAGGCCATATGCACACACACGTTATAGATATATACACATGCATGCACATAAATCCACACACTACACACACACACACCACGTATTCATACACACGGACGCGCATACGCCCTGCGCCCTAACACGCTGTGCATACACCAACACGTGTACACAAAACACCCATCTCGCCCTGTAGCCCACACACACAGGCGCGCACCAATAGATCACTCATTGTGCAAGATCACTCGAGCGCGTGACAGCGACAGCAGAGTCTGTGCAGACACACGCACACCACCCGCGTACACGCGGGACACATCGACACTGCACGCATCACACGTATACACAACATATATACACAACATACATACACACACACATACACACACACGTACGTGTACAACACCGCGCACGTGCACATATGCACGAATCTGCAGTGTGTGGGATGATAACGATGAGCGTAAGTTCTAGGAATGAGAGAGGTGACATTTTGCACAAATGCAGTCGAGTGTTTTGAGTACAGTACAAGAAAATTATTGATTCACACGCTCATCATCATCGTCGGTGAACCGAGTAATTTGCCGCTGGCGGAGTGTGACGATAATGCCGACGGAAAGCTGCAAGCGAGCGAGACCCCCCCCCCCCTCCCCGTGTCGGCACCCGGGCCCCCTCTCTCACTCTCAGCCTCCACTGCACTGCGTCATGCTGCTGCTGCACTATCCACGTTGAATATCGCGTGCAGATACAACGCGGCGCCGTCTCGCCGCAATTCGCGGGGCAAGTGCCGCAGGCGGCGCCGACGTGGGCCGCTCGGCCACGCGGAGCGGCAGCGGCGATATCTAATAACCGCGGCGAGTTCTAATCTGAGGCTGAGGTTACTACGAACGGTGCGAAATAAGTTCAACATACCTACGTGCACCGTATATTTATACACACACATACATGTATATGCTAATACATACACACGTAGACATGTGTGTACACACACACGTGTACATACATATATACATATGTACATGCACGAGTGAGTCGAGGCCTGGAGCGCGGGTCAGGTGCGCGCGGGGTCGATGATGTTGACGATGTTGACGATGATGATGTTGGTGCTGATGGTAATAATGGTGGTGGTGATGGTCGTGTTGGTGCTGATGGTGATGATGGTGATAATGGTGGTGGTGATTTAATTTTTTACCTACGTGACTTTACCGAAAAAACCCAAGAATATGAATCATTGCAGTCACGAAAGCTTCAAATCTAGAAAGGTGATGGTAGTGTTGGTGCTGATGATGGTGGTGATGGTGGTGTTGATAGTAGTGTTGGTGCTGATGGTGATGATGGTGGTGATGGTGGTGGTGGTGATGGTCGTTTTGGTGATGATGGTGATGATGCGTGCGCGCGCGCGTGTGAGTAAATCGGCCACTCAATCATACACGCACATTCACACAAATACAATGCTAAAGACCACCCATATAGTCTTTAACAGACTTCGGGCAAGTAATGTTAGCGAGCACCTATTTAGACCGGAGTGGAGTGGCCAGTACTGCGCTCTGGGGGACACTCACTCCCACTCACTCACACTCACTCACTCCCACTCACTCACACTCACTCACTGTCGCACTCACTCACGCTCACACCCGCATTCACTCACTCACTCTCACACTCATTCACACTCACTCACTCTCACACTCACGCTCCCTCACTCACGCATGCACTCGCTCACTCACACTCACTAACTCTCACACTCACCCACTCTCACACTCACCCACTCTCACACTCACCCACTCTCACATTCACTCACTCGCACTCACGCAGACCCCTCCCGTGTCGCCTCGACTCGCCAAGCGCGCGTCTCCGTGGCTCCACGAGGCCGCGCGCCGCTCCCGGGACGGGATGGGGAGGAACGGGAATCAAAGAAAAGAAAACAAAGAGGGGGGCACAGGGAGGGGGGGGGGCGTGCGGTGCTGGAAAGGGTCTCTTCACAGCAGCACCCTACCTCTGGGGAGGCGCAGGGAGTCGAGGCGGGTGCTGAGCGCGGGGAGTGACGCGAGGCGGAGACCCCAGGACGTGGACCCGCGACGGAGCCCGGAGACACGCGGGGAGACGCGGGCGATGCGATGGGAGCAGCAGCAGCAGCGGCAGCGGCAACAGAGAAGAGGAGCAGGGAGAGGAGCAGGGAGAGGAGCGGGGAGAGGAGGAACGGAGATAATCGGGGGGTACATGAGCGAGGAGAGGAGACGCGAGGAGAGCCGCCGCGCTCCCGTGCGGCTCTGTCCCCGCTGGTGCCCTCGCGGCTGATGAATCCAATGAGAGGCGAATCCACGCAGCTTCGCAACGCCGCCTCCACCTTCCCGAGCCGTGGGGAGGAGCGCGACTACGCCACCGGCAGCGGCCATCGCTCAAAATTCACCTCAAACACGGGGGGGAACTTTCATCCGCCGGGCTCGCGTCTGGTTTTGTGAGATTTGGGGGGGCCGGTGGGGGTTTCGAGGGGGGGGGGAGTGGTTGATGTTGTTGAGGAAACTGAGCAGAGGGAGAGCGCAGCGCGGATCTGTGCGCGCGGCCCGGGACTCGGGGAGAGATGGGAGCCCCGAACCGCGATTTGTGCGCAGCGTGTCCAGCTTCATCAGCACCCCCATCATCATCATCTTCATCATCATCATCATCTCTCGCTACTGCACCACCACCATCGCACGCTGCGCCACCATCCCCATCATCATCTCAAGCTTCACCAGTGCCTCACGCTAGACCATCCCCGTCATCCAACGCTGCACCATCATCTCACAACTTACCATCATCATGTCACGGAGGATCAACATCATGGTCATCATCTCACACCTCAACATTATCATCCGACGTCCCAACATAGTCATCATCATCATCTCACGCCGCACACTCACATCACTCCGGCTCATCCCTGTTGAGCTTCGTTCATCTTCCAAGCGGTACCTATCATCTCCTTTGACCACAAGCTGTATCTCCTGCTCATCTCCGCTCATCTCTGCTCATGTTTGTCCCTCTCCCCCCCGCTCCCCCGGGCTCCCCCGTGGTGCTGAGTGAGCGAGCGAGCCCGCGTGGCCCCGCGCGTGCCCGTGCTAAGTGCCGCTGCCATCGCGAACGCGCGCGCGCACTCGCGGCGCGGGGGGGGGGGGCTGAGGGAGGGGCGAGGCGACGCTAATTCGGGGGGGAGGAGGAGGAGGGGGAGGAGGGGTGCAAGGGGAGGGGGGAGTCAGTAGCCCTCACCTCGTCAGATCTCATTGGCTGTGATTGCGTGACGGCCCTGATTTAGGTGGCTCATAAGGCCGGCCCATTAGGCGTCGCGCCGTTATATTCATCGGCCGGCGGCGACGCGCGGCCACTGCCGCGTGGCATCAACTTTAACAGCTACGACATCGACGATAAGAACAACGGCGACATCGACCAGTGTGACGAGAGCGAGCAGAGCGGGCGGCGGGAGACGAGCGTGAAACGAGATCAGGGGAGATTAGGGGCGAGAGCGGAGGAGGAGGGGGGGGGGGGCGGGAGCCGCCCGGCGCGGCAGCAGCAGCCTCGCGATGCTGTCGCACGCAGACATGCTGGACTCGCGACTCGTGCAGAGGAACATGTACTCCGCCGAGGGTGAGACGCCGCGGCCAGACACGCAGAGACACGCCGAGTCAAAACTCCAAGCGCCGAGTTGCGCAGACACACGCACCTCATCAAGTCCCGCTCGGAGACTTAGAGAGAGACACGCGGAGACACTATCGAGACACCCTTATACCAGAGACACGCCACGCGGAGACATACTGAGACACGCCGAGACACACCGAGACACGCGGAGACATACTGAGACACACGGAGACACCGAGACACGCGCAGACACCGAGACACGCGGAGACACGCGGAGACACCGAGACACGCGGAGACACGCGGAGACACCGAGACACGCGGAGACACGCGGAGACACCGAGACACGCGGAGACACCGAGAAACGCGGAGACACGCGGAGACACCGAGACACGCGGAGACACCGAGACACGCAATGATGCGCGCGGCGAGCGGAACTCCCGTTTCCATTCATCTCCATTAGCGCGGCGTGTTTACATTCGCGCGCGCTGGCGTGCGAGCAGCAGCAGCACGTGTCTCTTCGCGAGCGAGGGGACCGGGAAGGGGACCTCTGCTAGTCGGGATCCTGGTGGGGAGAACTCCGAAGACGACAGGGGTCCCGAGTGAGAGGGATTTTTGGAATTGGAGACTCCGCTAAAGGCGCCCTGGCTAAGAGGGACCCCCCCGAAAGGGGGCTCAAATAATGGAGACCCCCCCCCATCTCACGGACCCCCCCACCCATCACTCCCCCCCTTCTTTTCGTATGTTCAGGTCTCAAGGATCACTCTGAGATGCTGCGAGTCGCCGAGGCCAGCAAGTGTCGCCTGGTCGGCGTGGGCGGCAACGGGAACGAGCACCCGTGCGTCTCGGGGGGGTGCGGGGGCCCCGACGGAGTCACGATGCTCGGGGGGGACGACATGCAGCAGCAGCAGCAGAACCAGGGACCCGGCGGCGGAGGAGGAGGTGGTGGAGTAGGAGGAGGTGGAGGAGGTGGTGGAGGAGGAGGCGGCGGCTCGGGGCTGTCGGCTCTCAAGGAGCCGGACAGCAGCAAGCAGCAGTCGGGGGTGGCGCCGCAGAAGCAGAAGCGTCACCGCACGCGCTTCACGCCCGCGCAGCTCAACGAGCTGGAGCGCAGCTTCGCCAAGACGCACTACCCCGACATCTTCATGCGCGAGGAGCTGGCGCTGCGCATCGGCCTCACCGAGTCGCGCGTGCAGGTGCGTGCCGCGCGCGTGCAGGTGTGTGCACGTGTGCGCGGGGCGGGCGGGCGGGGCGACGGGTGTGCGTGTACACGTGCGGCAGCGTGTCGTTTGGATGCGTACGTATCGCGCGCGTGTGTGTGTACACGCGTGTGTTTGTACACGCGTGTGTGTGTACACGTGTGTGTGTACACGTGTGTGTGTACACGTGTGTGTGTGTGTGTACACGTGTGTGTGTGTACGCGCGGGTGATCGCGCGTGGTTTGTTGACGTGTGCGTGCAAGTCTGGTGTGCACGTGCGTGTACACGTGCGTGTGTTCACGTGTGTGTTCACGTGCGTGTACACGTGCGTGTGTATTCACGCGCGTGCGTATACACGTGCGCGTGTGCGGCCGCTGCCATCATTGTCATCGACACGGAGCTACGGTCGCTGCTATTCGCGCCGCGTCGTCGTCGTCGTCGCGTTTTCGCTGTCGCACTCCGCCACCGCGAACCCATCGCCCTCTTGTCGACCCTGGCGTCGTCGTGTTGTTGTCGTCGTGGTGGTGGTAGTGGTTGTCGTGGTGGTGGTTGTTATCCTGGTAATTGCTATCGTGGTTGTTGTTGTTGTCGAGGTGGGTGTCGCTGTTTCTGAGGTTATCGCGGAAGAGCGCGAACGCAGCGCGACCGCGGCGCGCTGCGTTCGCGACCCACAATGTGGGCAGCTTGAGTCGCGGTCGTCGATCAATAAAAACACCCAAAACTACTCGAGAGTTACACGAGCGACAACCAGAATGTTGACAACAACAACAACAGCAACAACAGCAACAGCCGTAATCATCGCCTTGGTAACTCTCATTCATAGCGGCCATCGGGTGACGATCCTGGCAGAACAATCATAACTCTCAACACAAACAGCGGCAGTCCCAATCAGAGCGACAGCGTAACAATAGCAACTATGAGCATAGCTAACTCGTATTGCAATAGGCACTGATACGAATCGTGAATTGTAACACTAGTTCACTGGTTAGATATTACATAAGTTAAATAGTACAATAATAGTTAAATGTAACAATTGTTAACTGGTTAGCAATGGCAGTGGTTAAACTTGTTAGATTTGACAATGGTTAACTGGCACAACAAGAGCCACTCTACGCTACCAGGAAGGTGTTTGCCGCTGCGTCCGCACCGTCAATTCCCGCAGAAGTTCCCGGCACGTGGAGCGAAACGTCGGACATAGCGTCACACACCACGGCACCGCGAGCCCACAGCGAGAGTAGCGCGGTAGCTGCGCAGTTACAATCGCCATCGCGTCAACAATAACCACAGCGGATGGGCAGCGATGACGCTGATGGTGGGGGTGATCGTGGTATTGGTTGTGGCGATGGTGGTGGCGATGATGATGGTGGTGGCGATGATGGTAATGATGATGGTGATGCTGGTAGTGATGATGGTAGTGTTGATGGTGATCGTGGTATTGGTGATGATGGTAGTGATGGTGATGATGATGGTGGTGGTGATGATGGTAGTGATGATGGTGATGGTGGTGGCGATGATGATGGTAGTGATGATGGTGGTGATGATGGTGACGATGATGGTGATGGTGGTGGTGATGATGATGGTGGCGATGATGATGGCGATGATGATGATGATGGTGGTGATGGTAGTGATGGTGATGATGGTAGTGATGATGGTGATGGTGGTGGTGATGATGGTGGTGATGTTGGTAGTGATGGTGATGATGGTAGTGATGATGGTGATGGTGGTGGTGATGATGGTGGTGATGATGATGGTGATGATGGTGAAAGTGGTGATGATGGTGATAGTGGTGGTGATGGTGGTGATGATAGTGGTGATTAGGTGATGGTGGTGATGATGGTGGTGATGATGTTGGTGATGGTGGTTTGTGTGTAAAGTTGCGCCGCGTCCGCGAAGTCCGAGCGATCATCGCCGCCGCGCCGCTCGGCGCGGGGCCTGCCTCGGCGTGAGAGCCGCGTGAACCCCGGGGGGACCCACGTCTCTCTACTTTACCCGCAGCGTGCCCACCACGTAAACATGTATGCGTCATTGTACAATCATTACTACGGTGAGGACTACTATTATATTATCATCATTGATACTGTCACGAGGGAGGGTCATGACCACCCGACAGGGGCCCGGGCGCGATGCCTCTCGTCGTCGTCGTCACCGCCGTCGTCGTCGTTGGCGGCGCGCGGTGTCGAGAGACGCGGCGGCCTCGTCGCTTCCCGCGGGCGGCGTCGATGTTGTGGCGCGCGCACTCCCACGGAGACAAAGCTCCCCCGGGTAGCCTGCACAGACTGTTGGGGCGAGTGCTGGTCACGGGCAGTGCCCGCGGAGGCCGGCGCGGCGCGCGACCAGATCGGGAGGTCCAGAACCGGTCCAGACGTCACTCGCCACTGACGTGAGCCGTGGCCAGGATCGGAACTGAGGTACGAGACTTGAAAGCGCGAACCCGCTGTCCGCTCCTTCAGTGCCCCCATGGCCAAGCACGGCGTGGCGAGGAGGCCTCACGCAGCACTGGGTTGTATGCGCGTGCGCACGCACGCAGATACGGCTACACATGCGAGCGTGAGTGTGTTTATGTATTTGCCTGTTGTGTTTACCAGTTGATATCTGTATTGGTGAATGTGTGCACATATGCGTACGTTTATAGTATAAGTATATATGTGTATGTTCTATATGTGTATACTGTATATATGTGCATGTTTCTGTCTTTGTACGCATTTGCGTATTTGTCGTTGTGTGTTTATATAGAGCGGAGACACCCGAGGTCGATTCTCGTACTGGCCACCAACACCAGTGACGATTATCTGAACCGGTTCCGGGCCTCTCCTAGGTCGACTCAGCTTCAAATTAGTACCTGGTGCGATGCGTAAACATCAACATCATCGGCCAGGTGCAGTTGTGACCACCCCCTCGTGCGCCGTAGCGACCTTCATAGCTGCTCGCCAACAGCACTTGCCCCAACAGTCTGTGTAGGCTATACGGGGGATTCATACTCTTAGGTTTTTTCCGGTAAAGTCACGTATGTAACAAAAAACCTAAGAATATGAATCCTTGCAGTCACGAAAGCTTAAAATCTAGAATTATACGGGGGATGTTTGTCGTTTTATATAATATTTATGTATGTGTGTGTGTGCATGTAATATGTATATGTAACTGCGATTACTCTATGTGGCTATGAATGTGTGTACGTGCGTGCCGGCATGGCAGGATGTTTGTACTCTTACCGCTCGCAACCTGTTCGCGTTCACGAGGAGGGGGGGGGGGGGTGCGTGGACCCGGGACTCGGTGCCTCTGCACCCGGGGGGGGGGGGGGGGGCTCAGTGCTGAGCGCACGAAGCTGCGTGCACGCCCTGAATAGGCGCTCGCTCACAGCGCGTGCCCCAACAGTCTGTGCAGGCCACATGGGGTCTGTGTGCTTTGTTTGCGAGCGTGTGTCTGGGTCTATTCAGCGTGTACACGCGCCGCACGACCTGTGTGTGTGTGCTGCTGCTGATGCCGCACGCTCTCGCCCTTATCAGATGACGTGCACGCTGTCGCGTACACACCCTCGTCTTACGTACGCGCCGTAGAGGTTCATATTTGCATTAGTCGTGATCGATCCACTGTTGAATGAAGGCTTCCCCCAGGTCGCCGCCTTGTATATTCACCACGTCATGAAACAAACACGGCTGATTCTATATTATACAGAGTTATATATATATACCCGTAATAGAACGTACACGCTCATAAATACACTCCTATTGCTCTAAGATGATACACATGCACCGACACCAGTGACGATTAACCGAACCGGTCCTGGGCCTCCCCTAGGTCGACCCAGCCTCCAATGCGTGCCTGGTGCGGTGTGTAGATTTTACCACGAGGGAGACAAAGGCGGATGGGCGTGGTGCTCGCCACCCGTCCACTTCGTTGTGAGCCATGCCGGTCTTCGAAGGTGCCACTCGCTAACAGCACTTGCCCCAACAGTCTGTTACAAACTATTTGTGTCTAATAATGGTACACGTGTTGTAAATATAGAGGACGGTGCGTGGGGGTGATGATGTTCTGGAAGGCGTAGACGGCTGAAACGTGGCACAAACGTTGTCGAGTCTCCGCTGAGCATTAAACAATCTCACACGCAAGCCCAGCAGCATCGGTGGACCGAGTAATTCGCCTCCCGCGGAGTGTGACGCTGAAGACGAAAGAGAGCGAGCCTAGCTCACTCACTCCGATGTCACTAAAACACGAAGGGAAATATCCCCCGCACATCCTGAACAGGCGGTTGGGGCAAGTACTATTCGCGAGAAACTACGAAGACCAGCAACACACTCGGCCACCTCTGTCTCCCCAGTAGCGATTATTGGAAGGCTCATGACCAGTCAAAATATTCGCTGTCTTTGTTATTGGTCGTTAGCGGGAATCGAACTCGGGTGGCCGGGTTCGTAGCGCAGTGTGGTAATTAATACACCGCGTGTCCGAACAAACCGCGTGTTACTCACGCACCCCGTATACGAACATATGAGTGTGTATGTGTGTGTTTGTGTGTATGTATGACAATGTGTTATCCATAATAGAGGTGTTTTGGCGTAGATCGCGTCAATATATAAGTGAGTGTGTATTGTGGGGAGTGAAGGCGCAGTGGTTAGCGCCGTTGACACACACGTCCTGAGCTCCGAACCCGGCGACCCCAGTTCAATTCCCATTAACACCCAACACGAATGACGATTATTTGAAACGGTCCTGGGCCTCTCCTAGGTTGACTCAGCCTCATATGATGACCTGGTGTGCTGTGTAAATATCGTCACTGGGGAGACAAAGGCGGTCGGGTGTGGTGCTGGCCACCAACCCCCTCGTGTGCCGTGCGCGCTCACAGCACTTTCCCCAACACTCTGTTACAATGGGGATATTTGGCTACAATGGGGATATTTATCTATATGAGTGTGTTCGTGTGCATGAGTGTGTTCGTAGCCTAAACAGCTTTTGTTCGACCGGATCGAGGGGGCTAAACGGGCGCGGCACGGGCTAGAAAAGAGATGGAATGATGTGGTACAGGA